CGGCAAGCTGCAATTGACCGATTGTGCTAAATAAACTGACTTTCTGCATTTCACAACCACTATTGTACGTTCAAAGAGTTAAATCCATTTACACGCCGGCTGGCGGTAATATTTTTTGGGTGATTAGTGCATTCCAGTGACCTAAACGTACAGTTTCCAGCAACGGCAAGCTGCAATTGACCGATTGTGTACAATAAACTGACTTTCTGCTTCACAACAACCACTATTGTACGTTCAAAGAGTTAAATCCATATACACGCCGGGGTGGGGCTGGTAATATTTTTTGGGTGATTAGTGCATTCCAGTGACATAAACGTACAGTTTCCAGCCAACGGCAAGCTGCAATTGACCGATTGTGCTAAATAAACTGACTTTCTGCTTCACAACCACTATTGTACGTTCAAAGAGTTAAATCCGGTTTTATTTTTTGGGGGTGCTTATTGAATTAAAGAGTATGTCAGACAACACGCAGAGGAGTGGCAGAGGAGGCAATGTTTCAGGAGCGAGCAGACGTGGCAGCAGAGGAAGGGGGTCGAGGCAGCACTAGTCGCAGCCAGAGGCCAGTGCTCCCGGTGTCATCCAGCGGTCGTGTCTCCAACGACAACCCTGCCGTCATCGATTGGTTGACTCGGTCGTCTTCCTCTTCCCTGGTCACCTCTGACACCTACAGCCAACGGTCGGTGGGTACGTCAGACACAACCGTTAGTTGGCATGGCCGGGAGCAAGCCCACTGAAATCACGTGTCCTCGACCTGCCCCTGTCCTTTGGTGTTCCCTCACCAAGCGAAGTATCGCATGCTGTGGGCTCAGCCCACTGTACAGTGAGGAAGAGCTAACAGAGGGCGGTCAGGAACGGGGGGGGAGACATCCGCCTCTTCAGCAGCCAGGCGAAGAAGTATGGCGAGGAGAGAGTGGCTCGGTAGCCGGTCTAGAGACAGGTCTGTCTCCTGACCCACACGCAGCCGAGGGGGCTAGTAGTGACGCGGGAGACCCTAATTGATGATGATGAGGCTGATCGCACTTGGCAGCCTCGTCGTCATCAGGCTATTGCTTGCGCATCATCAGGAGAAGAGGGTGCCAGCTTGCCAGCGAGCAAAAACAGTCGGTGGGTTGCCAGGAGGGCAGCAGGGTCGCAGCAGTGTCAGTGGAGCCAAACGGCCACGGAGTAGAGCACCAGCTCCACTGCAGCCTACCACCACGACCAGTAGTGGTGCGGTGTGCACGGAGGAAGTAGCAGTCAGCCAGTGAGAGGAGTAGCGGGGGCAAAGTTTCCTACTCGGCGGTTGTGGCAATTTTTCGTCAAGCAGCCCGAGGAAGTAAACGTAGCGTATGTCGACTATGTGGCCAGAAGTCAAGCGTGGCCAGGGGGCCAATGTTGGGACTACAGCGTTGCGTCAGCATATGCAGCGTCGCCATTCGGTGGCCTGGGAAACCGTGATAAAGATATGGCGGTTCTGCCTGCCCCAGCCCCCGCTCCATCACCCGCTCCGTTACTTGCTCCGTCACCCAACGTCAATCGCCCTCTATCAGCCAGTCAAGGCTCCAACACTCTGCTGAGGGGAGTTGTCGCTCGTTGGCATCTTCCGCTCGTTCAGATGCTCCTTCTCCTGCTACTCCTCTTCACGGATTCCGTCAGCAGTCTTTCTTGGAATCCGTTTCCAAGAGACAACAGTTTGCGAGCACGCACCCGACGGTGCAGAAGCTGAACGTCCTCCTGTCCAAGTTGCTGGTGCTGCAGTCCCTCCCTTTCCAAGTGGTGGACTCAGCACCTTTCCGAGAAATGATGGCTTGTGCCGAGCCGCGGTGGAGAGTGCCAAGCCGGCATTTCTTCGCCAAAAAAAGGCAGTGCCAGCCCTGCATTCACATGTAGAAGAGATGGTGGGGCCAGTCTTTGAGCATGTCGGTCTCTGCCAAAGTGCACGGCAGCGCCGACGTGTGGAGCTGTAACTACGGTCAGGGACAGTACATGTCATTTACGGCCCACTGGGTGAACGTGGTGCCGGACAGCCGCACCAGCAACTTGGACAGGTCACGCCGCTTTTGCCTCCACGTTTGCACGTCCTTGGTCCAGCAAAGATGTCCGCCTCTACCACCTCTTCTTCCACCGTGTCCTCAGCCGCCACCCCCGTGCCAAGTCCCATTACCCGACCGGCATATCACATGTGCAGGGCGCAATGGTGTCACGCTGTGCTGCACTGGTATGCCTTGGCGAACGTAGTCACACAGAGGAGGAACTTCTGAGTGTAATGAACAGAGAAATCGACAGATGGCTGTCTCCGCGCAAACTGAAAATCGGAACCATGTTGACCGACAACGGAAAGAACATGGTGTCTGCTCTGCGTCAAGGAAGGTTGTGCCATGCGCCATGCATGGCTCACGTGTTCAATCTGGTTGTCAAGCGGTTCCTAAAATCCACCATCCCACTGCAAGACATCCTTAAAATGTCACGTAAACTTTGCATGCATTTCAGCCATTCCTACACCGCAAAGCACACCCTCCTTGAGCTGCAGCGGCAGAACGGAATTCCACAGCATCGCCTGATCTGCGACGTTGCACCAAGGTGGAATTCAACCCTACATATGTTAGACCGCCTTTACGAACAGCGAAAGGCCATCACCGATTTCCTGATGTTACAAGCGGATAAAGGTACTCCCCTGTGTAACTTAGATGTCAGCCATTGGCAGCTCATGCGTGACACCTGCCGCTTGCTCAGGCCCTTTGAGGAGGCCACGCTATTCGTGAGTCGGCAGGACTATGGGGATGAACGACGTCATTCCTCTGTTGCACGTCCTGGAACAAATGCTGTTAACAATGGCTGGTCAGGGTGCGGTAGACGTGGCGCACAGATCTCAACGCCACATGACCCCTGTGGGGGCAGGACAGGAAGAAGAGGAGGAGGTAGAGGAGGACATTGGTGCTCAGGAATTATTGAGTGAAATGGGTGGTTTTCCACTCAGCGGACAGGAGTGGAGGAGCAGGGCATCTGGTAGAGGAGGAGGAGGAGACAGAGGACCCAGACGCACCGTGGCAGTATGCTGTGGAGATGGAGGCAGGGAGTCCCTCGCATTCCTTGGCACAAATGGCCCATAGCATGCTCGGTTGCTTGCGTAGCGACAGCCCGAATAATAACCATCAGACAGAGGGATGACTTTTGGCTGTCCACCTTGTTGGACCCTCGCTACCGTTCAAAAATGGTGGCCTTTTTCACACCTGCTGAGAGGGAGGCCAAAATAACGTACTATAAAAAACCACCTATGTAGTCAGTTGGTCTCTGCCTTTCTGCGCCAACGTCCATCCTCAGACACTGTGGGCCCTGTGCGCTCGCGTTCCGCTGCCATGGCAGCAGGGGAGGGGGTGGGGGTGGTAGGAGCAGTGGCAGCTCCACCAGCAGCGGCTGCCTCAGTCTGCAGTCGATGATGAGTAGCTTTCTTCACCAGCACAGTGAGGAAAACTACTAACCAGCAGCAGCAGCATCAGGTGGACCTGGAGCAGGACCTCAAACAAACAGGCTTGGGCCTACTTGGACAGCACCCTGCCAACCGAGGTAGACAATCCCCTTGACTACTGGGCAACGAAACTTGACCTTTGGCCCCAACTAGCTGAATTTGCCCTTGAAAGGCTGTCATGCCCGGCCAGTAGCGTGGCATCGGAGCGCGTGTTTAGTGCGGCTGGAGGTCATGTAACTCCGCGGAGGACACGACTGTCCACCCAAAGTGTGGAGAGACTCACGTTTGTGAAAATGAATCAGGAGTGGATTAGTCTGGATTTCAAACCACCAGTTCCTGACACAACTGACTAAATCCGCCATGAATCATGCCCCAAACATGTTATTAGGGACAAATGGAAGACCTCCACCTGATCCGTACATTTGTATATATATTTTATTGAGAGGCTGCTGGTCGGCCGACTCATGTTTTGCACATTTTTAATGACTTATACTCTGCTGGTTGGGCCCCTCATGAATTGGGGTTTTTAAATTATTTATACGTCGCTGGACGACTGTCACATGAATTTAAACTTTTTAATTATTTATAGTCGACCAGTTCCAGACCGATGGAATAGCAATTTTTTTTAAATATTTATTTGACACGTGTTGTCCATCTCATCAATGAGGTGGACTGTTTATTTATTGGCCACGGTTTGGCCCCCTCCTGTTTCTTACATTGTTAACTTGTTGTATCGGTCACGGTTTGGCCACATGTTTGGTTGTCTTGTTAAGATTTTCTGTAATGTACACAGTTACGCTTGACTTGTCGACTTTCCACAATCTACTAAGGTATAGCATCGCATCAAAGTTTTTTTTTTTTTTTTTTTTTGGTCTAAACCATTTCTTATAATGTCAATTTGTAGGATACGCCGCTTAAGGCGACCTACTTTTTGTCACTGTGTAGACATCTATTTATAGGCCGATGTTTGGCCACAAAAATATATTTAGTAATAACCTAGCCGTTCAGGCCGCTCCCTGAACACCTCGGGAATTGCTTTGTATATCTGTTGCCTTAGAGGCCGCTGTCTGAACAGCTCATGAATTGCTTTCTATATGTGTCGCCTTTGAGGCCGCTGGCTGGACAGCTGATGAATTGATTTGTATATATGTACTTATTGTCCGCTGTCCGGACAGCTCATGAATTACTTTTTGTATATAGCCTTCCAAACCACTCTCAGAATAAGTCATGATATTCATGCTGTGTATAGCCTTATAGGCCAATGGTCAATCAAGTCATGATTGTTATAGTGTGTATAGCCTTATAGGCCGCTGTCTTTACAACTTTATAATTCCATGCAGTATATAGCCCTATCGGCCACTTTCTGGCATCCAGTTGCTGTAGCCCCCATCACCACACTGTGCCACGGGCCCCTGTACTGCCTTCTCATACTGCTGCCAGATCCATCCTCTGCCATGTGCGTCTTTGTCGTCTGCTCACGCTGCTGGGTTCCAGTTTTAAACCTAGGCCTGTGTATGGCTTCCGAATACAGCTGCCTCCACCGCCACCCTGCGCCATGTGCCTCTGTCGTCTGCTCACGCTGCTGACGGCTTCCGCTTTTTAACCTAGGCCTGTGTATGGCTTCCGAATACTGCTGCCTCCACCGCCACCCTGCGCCATGTGCCTCTGTCGTCTGCTCACGCTGCTGACGGCTTCCGCTTTTTAAACTAGTCCTGTGTATGTCTTCCGAATACTGCTGCCACCACCGCCACCCTGCGCCATGTGCCACTTTCGGGTCTCCTCACACTGCTGCCAGGTCCATACTGATTCATGGCCCCCCCTGTACCGGCTCCTCATGAACGTGGTTCAGCGGGGTTTGCATCACTTAACGGCAAATCGTTGACAAATGCTGGGACGTTCAGTGTTGTGCGCATTAAGCCAGACACCAAAGGGCAGCACAGACCTGTTATTACTCGCTCAAGCATGGCTGAACAAAACCAGTCTCTACCACAAATTGGACCCAGACCTGCCCAGGGTCTCGTAACTAGATTGCACGGAGGAGTAGAGTCCGTTATCGGAATTAAATAGACAAAACGCCACACCAAAAAGAGTGGCCATTTCCAACACTTATTCCAGAAAGAGGAACAACCCGTTTCATATACGGCCCGTAGACGTTTTCACGTCTGCCACATTCAGTCGATTTAAGACGCAAGCTCCACTTCCTGTGGTCTCTGACCGTCGATATACCTTTAAGTGTCAGCTTTGAAGCTATATTCCTCCGGAGCACTGACACTGGTGCCCTTCCGTCAACATGCCTTTAAGTTTCAGTTTTCAACCATATTCCCCACAGAAGCCAAACTCTTGGGTATCCCAGAAGCTGCTCAGCGGGTCAGGGCAATAAAGCTCCCGGTTCGCAGGTTGTTCCGTCTTATGGATGGAAGTACGACGGTATATGATCTTCTTTGCACCCACGGCATCACCTCATAGAATCTCTGCATTGCATCTGCAATCACAACGCTGACTTCCCGGATCGCCACTCAGCCATTGGACTCTTGATAGTCGTCTCCCCACACTGCTGCTGGGGGGACTTTTTAACCTAGGCCTGTGTATGGCCTTCAATTGAAGCTGTTTCCGCTCCGCCACTCTGCCATTGGACTCTTGATAGTTGTCTCCCCACGCTGCTGCTGGGGGGACTTTTTAACCTAGGCCTGTGTATGGCCTTCAATTGAAGCTGCTTCTGCTCTGCCACTCTGCCATTGGACTCTTGATAGTCGTCTCCCCACACTGCTGCTGGGGGGACTTTTTAACATAGGCCTCTGTATGGCATTCAATTTAAGCTGCTTACGCTTCGCCACTCTGCCATGGGCCCTGTACCGCCTCCTCTTGCTGCTGCCAGGTCCAGAGTGTGTCATGGGTCCCTGTACGGCCTCCCATTGCTGCTGACTTCATCGCCAGACTCTGCCATGTGCCACTTTCAGGTCTCCTTACACTGTTGGTGGGTTCCATTTTGTGATAGGGTGCTGTATGGCCTTCCATTGCTGCTGCTGCCTCCACCGCCACCCTGCGCCATGTGCCTCTGTCGTTTGCTCATGCTGCTGACGGCTTCCGCTTTTTAACCGAGGCCTGTGTTTGGCTTCCGAATACTGCTGCCTACACCGCCACCCTGCGCCATGTGCCTCTGTCGTCTGCTCACGCTGCTGCCAGGTCCATACTGATTCATGGCCCCTGTACCGGCTCCTCATGAACGTGGTTCAGCGGGTTTGCATCACTTAACGGCAAATCGTTGACAAACGCTGGGACGTTCAGTGTTGTGCGCATTAAGCCAGACACCAAAGGACAGCACAGACCTGTTATTACTCGCTCAAGCATGGCTGAACAAAACCAGTCTCTACCACAAATTGGACCCAGACCTGCCCAGGGTCTCGTAAGTAGATTGCACGGAGGAGTAGAGTTCGTTATTGGAATTAACTGTGAGGGACTTTTAAACCTAGGCCTGTGTATGGCCTTCAATTGAAGCTGCTTCTGCTCCGCCACTCTGCCATTGGACTCTTGATAGTCGTCTCCCCACGCTGCTGCTGGGGGGACTTTTTAACATAGGCCTCTGTATGGCCTTCAATTTTAGCTGCTTACGCTCCGCCACTCTGCCATGGGCCCCTGTACCGCCTCCTCATGCTGCTGCCAGGCCCGTAATCTGCCATGGGCCCCCGTACCGACTCCTCATGCTGCTGCCAGGCCCGTAATCTGTCATGGGCCCCTGTACCGCCTCCTCATGCTGCCAGGTCCAGAGTGTGTCATGGGTCCCTGTACGGCCTCCCATTGCTGCTGTCTCCATCGCCACACTCTGCCATGTGCCACTTTCAGGTCTCCTCACACTGCTGGTGGGTTCCATTTTGTCATAGGGTGCTGTATGGCCTCCCATTGCTGCTGCCTCCACCGCCACACTGTGGCTCCACACTCTGGTTTTGGCCCCGTGACTGCCCAAATGAGTGAAGTGTGCGGTGATTCTAAGATCGACGGCACTCATCTGCATGTCATACTGACTGACAGTATTATTTCTCTTCCCAGCAGACTCCAAGGGCATTTAAATTAAAGGTACAGTGTTCTGCACTAATATAAAGGCTCTCTGAAGCCTAGAAACACCCTTTTTATAAGTTAAATTCGCAGCAAATATATATTCGGCTCGAAGCGAATTTATTCGGCGAATTCGGCGAATCAGCCGAACCGAATTTTTGAATAATTCGCTCATCTCTAATCACATTATGTGAAGAGACATACACTATATTGCCAAAAGTATTGGGACACTTGCCTTTACATGCACATGCACTTTAATGACATCCCAGTCTTAGTTTAGATGGTCCACCTTTTCCAGCTATAACAGCTTCAACTCATCAGGGAAGGCTGTCCACAAGGTTTAGGAGTGTGTCTATGGGACTGTTTGACCATTCTTCCAGAAGAGCATTTGTGAGGTCAGGCAGTGATGTCGGACAAGAAGGTCTGGCTCAATCTCTGCTCTAATTCATCCCAAAGATGTCGGCCATGGGTTGAGGTCAGGACTCTGTGCAGGCCAGTCAATTTCCTCCTCCCCAAACTCACTCATCCATGTCTTTTTATTGACCTTGCTTTGTGCACTGGTGCACAGTCATGATGAAACAGGCAGGGGCCATCCCCAAACTGTTCCCAAAAAGTTGGGAGCATGAAATTGTCAAAATGTCTTGGTATGCTGATGCCTTAAGAGTTCCCTTCACTGGACCTAAGGGGCCAAACCCAACCCCTGAAAAACAACCCCACACTATAATCCCCCCTCCACCAAACTTTACACTTAGCACAATACAGCCAGGCAAGTACTGTTCTCCTGGCAATCACCAAACCCAGACACGTCCATTGGATTGGCAGACAGAGAAGAGTGATTTGTCACTCCAGAGAACACATCTGCACTGCTCTAGAGTCCAGTGGTGTCATGCTTTACACCACTGCATCTGATGCTTTGCATTGCACTTGGTGATGTAAGGCTTGACTTCACAGACAGGCACAAGGGGCAATTTGTGAGACTTTGCACTTCTTTCAAACATCTCACCAACTTACTTGTTTACATAGGCATAAAATAGGATATTCATCCATGCAAAGTATTCTGGTTTATATGACAGCAACCTGTACTTTTATTTTCTATTGGAGCCATTTTTTTTTCCTTGAAGATGAGGGACACTTAAATATAATTAGGTAATGTAAATATAGTAAATAATATTACGAGGATAAGGGTGAGTGTGGCCATAAACAGGCCAGCACAACTCTAATTTGACCCTCAGTCTGGAGTTTGGTTGAGGATTGGGCTGATTAAGTCTACCCTAAGGGTTGATAATGAGCTCTAGAGTCCATCGAAAGTGTTCAACGTGTTGGAGAACCTCTGTTAACCTCACTGAGAAAAAGGAAGGATGTATTGCATTGCACATTTACTGTATATTTGTTCACGGTCTATAGGAAACAGCAGTAGATAATCACTCCATAGTGGACAAACATAATATCTTTTTTCTATAATTCTTGGAAGGCATCTGCCCACCTATGACTATGGATTAGGGTTAGTACCTTTTAGCACTTTTTACTTTTATCAGTTACACTAAACTTTTCACCCTATCAATGTCTTTTGGTTTGTATTTGGCAGTTAGAAATATTTGCATTCATTAGACCTGAACATGTTATTTGTTAGTACATGGTATAACGGGCTAGTATTTCTATATCAACAGCTTCCATGTGAGATGTTCTTGACAGCTACATTACAAACTGTAAATTTACTTAAGTCAGTGTTTTTAAACAGAATATGGCTGCTAAATCGTGCATGTAATGGAATTAAGTAAAATTGTGTCATGGGAAATCTAACAGCATATATACAGTACAAGGTAATGTTTTCTTTTTCTTCACGTTTGAGAACCAGCTCAAGGAGCTTTTTCGTTTGTTTCAAATTTAGCAAAGACAGAATAACCCCTTAAAGAAACAGTACACTTTATCAAGAAGGAAAATGAAGTATTTATACAGATCTCTTCTGTATAGAAATGTCCGCTGGAATAAACTGTTAATTAAATTATATGTGCAAAGAACATCTACAAATTCAATTTCCTAAATTTAAAGGCAAAACTTCAATCATTGACCAAAAAGTTTGCCTAAACTAGTGAACCAAAAATGGAAGGTGATATTATTTTGATCTCAGATCTCAGATGGAACTCTATTGGTTGGTGGGGTTGCATTTACTTCTAGACCCGAAAAGAATCATGGAGTCCATGATACTACTACTACACTAGTGCAAAGAACGGGAGATCTCCACATGCTGTTCCTGTGCCCAGTAAAGACTCCAGTTACTGATGCTTTGAGCAGAGCTCATTTATTTTTAAGTAGCATATCTGCACACAGGAATAGGTGCAAAACTGTCAATGTCATGGAGTAATACGTGATGATGTTAACACATGCCCCCTACACAAATGGGAATGCTAAATTTATTGCACTTCAAAACTGTTTTAATGGCAGTCTTTATATTGCTCTCAGAAAAAGCTTCCTATAGGATAACCAAACAAGCATACACAGTACATGTTTCTATATTTCCTGCCACCTTCATATCAATATATTTTTGAGTAGTATACTACTGTATAAGATTCAGATCATATACTGGATTCCAAATCCTGCAGAAATGTTTTACAAACCCATGTCTGAAATAAAACTTTGGGTATACTGAACCTTATGCAAGATCCCATTAAACTGGTAGTAAACGAAGTTGGGGGGAGGCACAAATTGCCAAATGAAAGCAGCTGGCTCAATATGGTAGAATCAATCAATGAATGAATCACTGGATGTAATCATATGGCTCCTGATGAACTAATATTCTCTGGTTTTGGTGTCTTCAGACCGGACAAAATAAAGACTAGAACAGGCTAAAAACTGATGTATGATTGGGTTACAGTTTTTCCTGGCTTGTCTTTATCCCCTTCTTAATAATTATGCGACATTTAAGTGCAATCTTTAGGTTATCTTCCTCTCTTTCTACTTATTTTTTACAGGTACTTATATAATGCCATCAATTACACAGTGCTTCACATTGTGACATAAGGAAAGGTGAGGTGCTATGTATATCGCCTCGCATGCTTTCTTATGTGGGAAACTAGATGTAATCTGGTCAGGGTTTTCCGGGCCACCTTGACAGTGTGGGTTACAAACCAAATGTTGCTTTCCACTTGTGTCACGATCAGAGGATAAGACCATCTAGGACTGTAAACTCAAGATCTAGCGGGTCAGTGGAAACAACTAAACAGGTGGACCAGGTTGCCGCGGTCCTAACAGATGCAGGAGCAGTGTGAACGCACACAAATGGAGGTGTGTCAGAGTCGCAGCATCTAAGGAGCCACCCGGTATTTATCAGAGCCACTGGAGGCATGGATGTTGCGTTGTGAGGCACCCCCCAGGTTTTGGCTCTCTAACACAACTGTGCTAGGACAGTGCAATCAAATAGCATGCTGGAAGGACACAGGGAACACATAGGATACAGGAATCAAGCTAACCTACTGCAGCAAGCTAGGAAGGGATGCCAGGGAAGAGGACACAAGGAACAAGAGTAAAACGTAGGAGAGTTGAGGATGCTGAGCAATGGTGCAGGGAGAGAGAGACTCAGAAAGCTGGAAAGGGCTGCAGGGCAAACAAAAAGAAACAATGCTGAGAAGGATGCACACAGCAACAGGAATCCACGGACAGAAACCAAAGAGAATATAACTGCACAGCCAAAGAGAAAACACTGATAACAAAGACAGGATCAAGTAACACACAAAATATGGGAATACTCAAATGGAGGTGAACACCACAGGAACCAGAGGGGTCTGGCTTCCACGTGAAGACACATTGCTCAAACACTAACACACAGGTGCCAATTCATAATACCTAGGTGGATAGGCAGGAACCCAAGCAACCTGGAGCCGGATCAATGTGCAAGGAAGCATGAAAACTTGTGACCATCAGCAGGTGGTATAACTAAGGAAGGAATGGAGAAAGA